ATCTATCTATCTATCTATCATCTCTGTCTATCATCTACCTACCTACCTACCTACCTACCTACCTATATCTACCTATCATCTATCCATTATCTACCTACCTACTTACCAAACCAGGATTTGTTGGCTTGTTGTAACACGCAGAACAGCTTATTTTGAATGTCCGAGCACTCGTTTGTGGTTTTCTTATGGGTCCCCTTTGTAGAACTTTTAGCATATCAGGTGATTTCGTTTAGCTATGGGCAAGCAATAGATGGTATCATTTTCTTTATATTTGTATTTTTATGTTCACAATTCTTTTATTTTTTTAAAAAAAACTAGTTCAAATTTCTCTTTAAAACTAGAAATCGATACAGATTTCAAGAAAAGAAATACTGCTTCTGCAAATCAGAAAGTAAAGATGTAGCAAATTGATATTAATAACTAGCCCCTGTGAATTTAGCTTGCCATGGATTCCATTGTTAGCGTTTACGTTCAGATGTGTGTATTATTTTTCAACACAATGGCCACTGTTGGGAAAGTGAAACACAGTGTCTGCTTACTTGAAAGTCTATTAACACCACAAGCATCCATCACATCAAACAGACGAGCCAGCTTTGTGCTTCCGTTTATCTTTCATTTTCTGACTCATTTTGTTTTGGCAGCTCTCAAGGCTTTGTCCTGACTCGCCTTTATATCTCTACTGTACTTAATAAATCATGAAGGGTAGAAGCAGGAATAAAAAGCCAAATTTGGATCTGCCATTAAATGGGAAAAAAATAATCCAGTGATGGGAAATGTGTCAAAGTGCCTGGAACTACCAAGTAGCTGAGCTTATAGCAGGAACTGCCTTTTGCCTTTTTTTATTTTTAAATATAAAAGGTTACAGGTAAATTGCTGTCTTAGTGGATGTGTTATTAGTTGTAAGTGAAGGGATGAATTAAGCAGAGGTCACAAATCCAATAAGGGTTGGTTGTTTCATCATCTATTTTGGAATAAACAGCTTTGTGTATTGGCTAAGAATCTAACTACATTTATGCAGGATGACTTGTGTTAGCAACAGAAAGAGGAAAGGAAAGGAAGACAGGGAGGAGAATTAAGAGTAGGAGAGAGGGTAGGAAGGAGAAGAAGAGAGAAGCACGGGAGAGGAAGGGGAAGAAGAAAAGAGGAGAGGGGAAAAAGAAAGTAGAGAAGAAAGGAGGGAGGGAGAAAAGGGAAAAAAGTAGGGTTGTGGTAAAATAAAATAGGTGTATGGGATCGTAAGCAAAGCAATCCCGATTCTATATTTCAACTTTTATATGGAAAAATGAATATTTAAAATTGTCAGAGCCCTGCTTCGGTGGACTTTTTCCCTTGGTGGACTTGGAGAGTTTTTTCTACTGCCTGTTATTGACAGTGGGGAGCCTCAGTTTATCTCCCCCGTTGGCCATTTGNTCTCCTGCTTGAGCAGGGGACTAGACTAGAAGACCCACAAGGTCCCTTCCAACTCTCTTAATCTGTATCTAGTCTAAATGCTTGAATTATTAAGAAAATCTCCCCTTCTCTTCCCTGCATGCCTTTTAAGAGTTTTTTAAGTTGAATCCTCTACTTGTGCAAGTTTCCTGCCCAATTAGAAATACTTTCTCAAAACAAATGTTCTGGATGCTGATCCTGTAAGTCCACATCTGTATCGGTGCTGTGGGATAAAAGAAGATAGGGGCCCTTATTTTCTTCTGAATAAGGTGGCCAAATATACATTCAAAAATGTTAGTAACTTAGTTTCTCTTGCCATGTCCTGCTGTTTGTCTTAAGGCACGAGTTGCTGGAGATAAACGGTGTGAATGAACTTTAGTGGATGTCACTTCGTCCCTGATTTGTTGACAATATATTCCCCCCCCCCCCCCAGTACAGCCATGCCTGAGAGGAGTTTAAAATAGTTGGCTAGAGTTCTACTAATATCATAGGAACTGGAACCATACTCTTAAATTTTAGGGTGGTAGAGAATCCAGCAATCATACCATTCATGTAAAAAAAACAACCCAAATGTTACCAACCCTTAAGCGTTGGATGCCATTCCTGCTGAACACACATTTTGAATAATTTCCTTAAGCCTTACCAATTCAGGAGAACCTTTGAACATTTATAATCTATGGCAGTTCATGAGAGAGGGAGAAGAGAGAGAAAGAGAGAGGGAGAGAGAGAGAGAGAGAGACTTCACAGTTATCGGGAATTTCGGACATCAAAGTAATTGCCAAATGACTTCTGTTTCTCTGCTATAAATGAAATAATACCTATGCTTTTCGGACCGCTGCGGTTACTAATTCACTTAGTAAAGAGAATTAAGCATTATTTTCTGCCTGATCCCTTTCAGATTAACGCTAAATCTGAACGAAAGCCTTCCTAACATTTAATTTCATAATGGGTTGGAACTGCTGGTCTCA